CCCATTGTCCCATTATCCTGTACATATCAACCAGTCTCCAACCAACGGGTCAATTAGTCTTTACTTATTTGTTTCATATATGCATATTATTATCACAATACTATAATAGTAATAGCGACCAACTATTACTCAAGCACATATCCATATCCATTTTTAATGAATTTCAGTAAATAATGTATAAATAAGCTTAATTAAGAATATACCAAAATGTCATAACGGTAGAGAATAAAGAATCCTATTAGGTAAAAATGCATATTTTTAGAAAATAACCAAATTATGGGAAATTATATAAAATGATATTTTAAGACTTTTATTTTACTATACTACTATTTTTAGATGTTAGACAAAAATTACTGCATTTTACAAATCACATGGTAAAATATCTCAAATAAATATTCAAAATGCTTATAATTATGATATCTATAACATACAAAAAGTTATGTGGTGAAAGTTTTAATAATACAAAATTATTAGTATTTTTTGATAATAGAAACACAAATTTGATTAGAAAAATACCAAAAATATAAAATCTTTGAAACAAAAAATAGGGTATGGATTTCTTACAGCGAGACGAGCAAATCTTAATTAGCCTAACAGGCAAAAATAATATCAAGACCTCCAAATATGGACTTCTAATTTCTCTCTCATCTCATTTATCTGAAAATCCTTAAAAAGTCTCTCTAGCATGTAAAATTTAACATTACAAAAAAGCAAAAAGGCTTTTCAATTAACTCATATTAGTGGTATTAAATATTTATGATTTAAATAATAATATAATATTATATAATAAAATTAATTAATTTTTTGTATAAAATTCAAATAAATCATTTTATGACTTCAAAAATTATAAAAAATATCCATAAAATAAAATATGCTATTTATAAAAAATATTCGTGAAATTGGTTTGCATAAACAGAGCTTGACGGCCGAAATTCTTACTTATACTCATAGATACTAATTCTTAAGAATTTTCACTGGTGTCTTTAAAATTACCGAAAAAAATTTGTGTAAGTTTAAATACTATAATTAAAATACTATGACAAAATATGATTTATGATTTGGAGTTATAATTACTCCCAAAAAAAATTAGCTAAATCAAAATATGGGTTATTACATTATTAAGTTTTCATCTATGGTCAATTTTTCACTTGGTTCAAATAGCAAAGTGAAAACCCTATTCATATAAAGTTGGATAAGGTTTTTGTTAATAGTTCTTGGTTGGTGTTTTTCCTTCTTCTTACTATTTAGCTGATAATCCTCTTTGCTCTGAATCACTCTCCTCTTTATTATTATTGTAATAATAATAGGATTTATTTAGTAATAAAATTCTTTTCAAAAAATATTGGCGTGCAATAATTTCAAATTTTTGAGGATATTATGCTTCGAGATGCTAAAGCTTCTACTATTTCTCTTATTCCCAAAAAGATCAATGCTACTAGTGTTTTAGATTTATGGCATATTTCTTTATACAATTTTTTTTTTAATAAAATTATAAGCTTATAAGTTTTGGCCAATAGATTTACAGGGTTTATGCCTTATATTATTCATAAAAATCAATCTCAATTTATTAAAAAGGGGATTTTTATAGATAATATCATTCTTGCTGCTAAACTTCTTAGAATTCTTCCTATAGAGATGAGATTTTTTGTGCCAAATTAGATATTCACAAGGCTTTTGATACTGTCTCCAGAAATTTTTAATTTCTAGAATGGTTCAAAAAAGTTTTCCTCATATTTTTAATCTCATGGATTAGAGGTTGCATATATGATGTTTATTTTTATATTATTTTTAATGGTTATTATGCATGGGTTTTTTTTGTTCCTCTTGGTTTTTGACAATGTTGCCCACTTTCTCCTTATATTTTATTATATGTTATGGATGCTCTCTTCTAATATTATGGATGATTATTCTCATAATAGGAGCTTTGAGTGGATTAAAGCAGGTGATGATTATCTTTCTCATCTTCTTTATGTGGATGACCTTCTTGTCTTTGGTAAAACTTCTTTGGAGAATGCGAGCAAGCTTAATGATATTTTGGCTTATTTCTCTTCTCCATCTCGCTTGTTTATTAATAATGAAAATAGCTATGTTATACTTTATAAAAATTGTCATTTAGAAGCTGTTATTAGTCAATCTCTTGACATTAGTGTTTCTTTGTATCTTTTAAAATATTTGGGCTTACCTCTTTCAGGTAAGAGGCTAAAAATGTTTCATTTTTAACATTTATTTAGTCGTACTATGTTACTTTTGGCTGGTTGGAAAGCTAAATTGCTTTCATTCGCTCTTAGGGTGGTTCAATTCCTGAATTTTACTATTACAAATGTTATTTCTTATTGTATAAGGGGTATTTCTATGCCTAAATATTGTTTTAAAATATTAGAAAGGTTTTGCTCTCATTTTGTTTTTATGGTGAATCTTCAAGTCAGAAGAATCATTACTTGGAAAATTGTTTGTAAGCCTAGAGATGTTGGGGTCTTGGTATTTGTATCTTGAAGCTCTTTATTGCTTTATAGTTGTTCTCTTATTTGAAGAGTTATTAATGATATTGGGGTCCTCTGACTATTTTGATTAAGTTTAAGTATATCTATTTTTGGAAGCCTTGGTCTCAAAATGTTTCCTTTTTTGGAAAATATATCTTATATTGCGAGGGACATTTAAAGTAAGGTTAATTTCAATATTTTTCCAAATAGTTCTCTTGAAAACCTTGGTGTCTGGGGAATCTATTAAATGAGATTGCTGTGTGAATAGGTTAAATATGGATTCCTCCTTTCCACAATTGCAAGTTAGGGGATTGAATTTATCATAACTGCTGTAATATGCCTCTTTCTTTGTCTCCAGCTGTTAGTTATATTGTATCTCATATCTCTATCAATGATCCACAAGTTTCTAACATTTCTTGGAATGAAGGTTCTTCTTCCTTCTTTTCAAATGTTCATAAAGCTTTTTATATAACTTCAATAAAGTAGATTGTATCCTTTTATTTGCCATAAAAGATATGCTTTGAGATTCTCTTGTTATGCTTGGATGGCTATGTTGAAGGGGCTTAAAATGACTAATATCCTTGTTAAGAGAAATTTTAATGTTTCTACTACTTGTATCATCATTTGTTTAAAAGCTGAAGAATGTCATAATCATCTTTTTTTTAATGTGATTTTTTCCGTTAGCCTTATTTCTAATTTTTTGCCTAATATCAAATTTTTATGCTAAGAACCAATCTGGCTAAATTGCTGGATTATATTTCTAATCTTCATTATGATTCTAATGTGAAAAATTTATTTCTCCTTTTTGTTTGTTATTCTATTTATTTATTTGAAAGAAAGAATTCTAGGAGATTTGAGAATAAGTATTCTAGCTCTGGTTTTGTGAGTAGTTCCATCTTTAAGTTCTTTGTTAGCTAAGATTCTAATTGGAATTCCTTTCATAGTATTAAGGGTTTTCTGTAATGATTATTTTTTTTTTTTTTTGGGGGGGGGGGGGGGGTTGTTTGGGCTATGATGATTGGGCCTTCGATCTTTTCTTGGTGATATTTTTTGACAACCAAGTTTTTTATGTAAAAACTTTGGAAGGTCGAATTTTGCAACCAATAAATTGATTTTTAATTTGGGTTACTTTTACATAAGGTTCTTTTATCCCTCATGAGCCATTGGGTTTGGATTCTTTTGGTTCTTTATTTTTATTTTTTATCAGGTTTAATTTTCTCTGGTTTTTAAGGCTGTTGGTTTACTTGGGTTTGTTGATTTTGCTACTAGAAGACTTTTTGTATTTGTCTTTTTGGTTTGTTGTGTGTTGTTGTTTTTTGTATTGGAGGTTTTCTTGAGACAGGGCGGAACCAGCTTCAATTTTGAGGGGGCAGTAAATATAAAAATAATAATTAAATTATATTATAATAATATATATATATAATATATATATATATATAATATATATATATATATATATATTATATATATAAGTTATTTAAAAAAAAAAAATAAGCAAGAAAAAAATAAAAAAAATGTAATTAAATTGTCATGAAAAACACGGAAAAAAAAAATATTAAAACTAAATTTGAAGAATAATATAGACATTTTAGGATAAGTTAGGACAAAATAATTTTTTAGAGGGGGCAAAAGTAATTTTTTAGGAGGGGCAAAAAAAAAAAAATTCTCTCTTATAAAAAACAAAAAAATTTTTTTTGAGGGGGCTGCCCCTAACCATAACATGGTTCCGCCTCTGTCTTGAGATGGTTTAGCTTTTTGATGTTATTGGATCTAAGCAGAATTCCTTTTTATTCTTGGTTTCTAGTGGAGGCTAGTAGTGGGCAAGTTTTGCAGATTTTATCTGTTGCTTGATAGTTCTTGTGAGAAGTTTGGACATTATTGACATATAAGGAAGACCTTGTCTGTAGTTGGCTTGTTTCCTCTCTTGTGGTTTGATAGGTTCTTCTCGTCTTTAAGAGTCGTTGGAGTTATTTGGCTTCTAGGATCTTATCCTTTTGATGAGTTTTTTACAATTTTTTTTCTCTAGTTTCAAACTGGTTTTATTTTTCTTTTGTGGGTTCTTCTTGAACTTTGATTTATTGTATTTTTGTTAACTCCATTTCTATGGAGTTTTTATTTTTCTTTTCTTAGTTTTTTTCTAGTTTTTTTTTATTTGAGTTTGTAAGTTTTTTTTTTTGTTTTTCTTACATTTCATTTGTAACCTTTTATTTTTTGGAAAGAAATCGAGTATGTTTGCCCCTATCCCCCCCTTCCCCAAAAAAAAAAAAAAGTAATCTATAAACTCCATATTATATAGCTCATTCCTTATTCATTGATTCTTATACTTTTTGGCTTGGATATTAAAAATTTTGTCATAATCCTCTCCATGTATACACACTTCATAACATTCTCTCCAATAGCTCTCGCCCACCCATGACAACTAATATAACTCAATATTATCCATAGAGCAAATAAGGATTCAACAATATGATCTTAACATGATCAATCTGATGGTTCTATCGGCCACGCTGTACGGATTGCATCCGTCTGATCGCCATTTCATACACCGAACGGTCCTGATGCGATAATCTTTCCCTCCCAGACAAGTTGCCTTCTCATTTTGCGCTTGGATGGGAGGCGAACACGCCGCCGCCTTCGTGGCGCACCGCCATTTCCCGTACCCACCGTTGCTCCTCCGTGAGGGTTTTAGGGCTTTTAGCTTCCCCGCAGGCCGTCGACTCTCTACTAGGGTTTAACTAGTGATGCGAGGATTCTGGAGGAGGAAAGATGCAACCGCTGCTGCTGCGGCTCTGTGGAAGTTTAGGACCCTCTCGACGGCGACGGCATGTAGAGCGGTAGTGCTGCCGCGGTTCGGTGGGCCTGAGGTATTGGAGTTCCGTTCGTCCGTCGAAGTCCCCGATCTCAAGCCGCAGGAGGTGCTTGTCCGCGCCCGTGCCATATCCATCAATCCTCTAGATCTCAGGGTAAGCTTTAGACGCATTTGGTGTATTTTATATTTTGTTCGGAGAAAGGGCTCCAATTGCCTTCGTCTAACTATTTGTCATTTAGTTTGCAATAGTCGGCTTGGAGTTGGATTTGATTGGAGTCCAATCATGTCTTATTCGGGGGCTCTTTGGTTGCGCGATTTAGCCAAGATTCAACCAATATTTTGGCTAAATTTTGCCAATCATTTTCTTAGCCATGTAAATCCTGCTATCTTCTTAAATAAAGTTTTTCTTACATTTTACGCTAAGTTATGGATTTAGTAAATCCTGGAATTAGGATTTATACCGCTTTTCGTTGCATTGCATCTTTTTCTCCTTCATTTAAATTATAACTCTGGACATAATTAGCCAAATAATTTACTAGGTTTTAAATAGAATTAGCAACTATCATGCAAAATGGTTTTTCAGGATTTTAGGCCTTCAGGATTTACTTAATATTGATTTACAAAATTGACTAATCCTACTTGTAGTCAAACAACCCCCACAATGAAGAGTATCTTTTTTTGGTGAATTGCAGAGTTTTGAAAGCTTAAATTGTGCTTAAAAACTTTTGATTCTCGTAGGTGATTCTATCCTCTGTAATAATATTGTAGCATGCATCCATGTGCAGGCTTTTTAAAGCTTAACTAGGATGAGAAGATGCATAAAAAAAAAAAAAAACAATGAGAAGTTGCATTTCCCTATAGACATCTTACACCCCAACATGGATAATCAGTTAAATTTCTTAGATTCTGTTGTGTTTTTATCAGTTAAGTTGACTTTTGAACTTTTTTATATACCAAGAGCTATTTTTCTTAGGCCTTTCTTGATTTACCTGCAGGTGAGATCAGGATATGGTCGATCCATATTTGAACCCCTTTTGCCACTGATTTTGGGTCGGGATGTTAGCGGTGAAGTTGTAGCTGTTGGAGCTTCGGTCTCATCACTGGTCCTCGGGCAGGAAGTTTTTGGTGCACTGCATCCAACAGCTGTGAGAGGCACTTATGCTGATTATTGCATTCTATCAGAAGAAGAGTTATCCGTGAAACCATCTTCAGTATCTCATGTGGTAAAAACTTATATTTGAAATAATTGTTTATTATGTTTTTACTCAAGCTGATGTTTTTATAAATTCTGAAATGCCAAAACTTATTATTATTATTTTCATTTTTGTAAGGGAAGTCATGTGGCACTTTACCTGTATATTACATGAATTTATCTATTTCATTATAACTAGTAAAACTTACATGTCTAGTTTTCAGCTGCAATGAAATTATAGATAATCATTTCATGCAAAATTTTATGCATTGTATAATGAATCATGAATTTGTTTTATTACAAGTTTGTTGGATGTGTACTTTCTAGGGCATTAGTACTTTGTTGTTACCACATTTTGTTTGGCTGAGCTTTGAATTTTTTGTCATGCTACCTTTATTGCGGTATATAAATTTCCGTTGCACTTAATTGGACTTTTTTCATTGCTGGTATTGTCACAGGAGGCAAGTGCTGTTCCTTTTGCTGCCTTAACTGCATGGCGAGCCTTGAAATGCACTGCTAGAATTTCTGAAGGGTATGTTGGATGCTATATGGCAGTAAGACATTGTTCTTTTAAGAGAAATTATTGTGGAATTGATTTTGAGAATCCTAAGATTTAATTGTTTGGCAAAATTTTAACTTGCTTTCAAATAATTTCCTTATTTTGATATGTTCTTTTTCCATATAAAAAGTATTTCAAAGAACAATTAATCCATTTGGGCCTAGCTAATTTCTTATTTTTGTAGATGGACATTTTGTTCTTGGGAAATCTAAAATTTAAGGAATTGTTTAAAAAAAAAATGATGGCTTTATGAAGTTAAATTTAGGCGTTATTTCTAACCTTGGTCTCATTATCACATTTTGTGATCATCTATTTGTTTGGTCTTATTCTATGATGCACATGCATTTTAAAATATTTTTCATGCAGTGTTGAAGATGCGCTTGACACACTTAAAATTGTTTTTGAGAAGTACTTTAAATTTAGAAATAGATTGAAGTATTGAACACACTTCAATGCTACAACTTCACATGTTAGGAAACAAGCATGACACAGTACAAACAATTTATCATCGATTTAATTATTTTCATTCCAATTTGGCATGGAAACTAAAAATCACCATTTTGGTTTTTCTCTTATTTGTTCCCCTTTTTTTTACATCAAGCCTTGATGAGCTCCAAGTTGTTTGTTATCTCATCCCGACTTCGTCTTACCTACAATTTTCATCTTGTCAAACCTGTTATGCCACCACTCCTCTACCAAGGTTGCACCTTTACTGTATCTACTCCTTTGCCAAGATTGTTGATCTTCTGTCATTGTCTAGTTGATGACTGTTAGGGGTGGTTGAGTAATTAAATGCTTCCGGACTGTTTTTGTGAAGAATTGATTCACATAATCCTATTCATTCCTATTCAGAACCACCTAATGGAGGACCAACCACACTTGGAGCCCCCCACATAGAGTTCTATCAGGTAATACCAACGATTAGAGGCATCGGGGGCACAACGTTCTCAACATATTCTCAAACTTTAAATAGGTAGGATGGCTAGGTTGTTTTGATCAGCCGTGTCACGAAATCGAGGGCTCCAAGTGGGCCATTTTTTGTAAGCACAATTGGCGATGCGAGATGAACCGGAAGTCGGGTTACGGTGCCCAATTGCGCGTTAACCCAAAACCCACAAAGGGCGTTGGTCAATTAAGATAGCAGGATGGTGGTCATGAAAGTAAAAATATGCTAAGGAGTGTGTAACAACTCACTTGCCGAATCAACTAGCCCTGAAAATGGATGGCGCTTAAGCGTGTGACCCACACCCAACCATCGAGGCAATGATCAGGCCCAGACCAATAGGAGAGTGCGACGGTCGCCCTAAAACTCTGGGCATGAGCCATGCGGAGCGGCCGTCGTTGTGGATCTTGGTGGTAGTAGCAAATATTCAAATGAGAGCTTTAAAGGCCGATGGGGGGAAAGGTTTCATGTGAAAGACACTTGCACATGGGTTAGCATCCGATCCTAAGAGATGGGGGAGGTCTGTCAGAAAGCGCCGCTTCGCGTGAGCTTCTAAAGGGTGTTGGGTTGAAATTCCTGAGCCAGGATGTGGCGGCTAACAACAATGTTAGGCAGTCCAAAGACGCTGACGGAGGCCTCGGGAAGAGTTATCTTTTATGCTTAATAGCCTGCCAACCCTGAAAATGGCTCAGCCGCATATTGAGCGGCGTTTAGTGCGCCCACGACGGCTCCTTAATATTCAGAGGGCCAAGTGCCATCCATGCCCGTTCCTACTTATAACCACATCAGGTCTCCAAGGTGAACAACCTCTAGTCGATGGAGCAATATAGGCAAGAGAAGTCGGAAAAATGGATCCGTAACTTCGGGAAAAGGATTGGCTCTAAGGGTTGGACACGGGTGTTCTAGTCTCGAATCCACCAGTTGTCGGCAGACTGCTTGAGCTGCACTCGCGGCGAGAGCAGGCCGCTGCGTGCAGGCTGGGGGATGGATTGTGAATGGCTCTTCTTGGGGCCTTCTACGGGGGTAGAACAGTCGCTCAGAATTGGTACGGTCAAGTGAAATCCGACTATTTAATTAAAATAAAGCATTGCGATGGACCCAGCAGATGCTCACACAATTTGATTTCTGCCTAGTGCTTTGAATGTCAAAATGAAGAAATAGAATCAAGCGCGGGTAAATGGCGAGAGTAACTATGACTCTCTTAAGGTAGCCAAATGCCTCGTCATCTAATTAGTGATGCTCATGAATGGATTAACAAGTTTCCACTATCCCTGCCTATTATCTAGCGAAACCACAACCAAGGGAACAAGCTTGGCAGAATCAACAAGGAAAGAAGATCCTGTTGAGCTTGACTCTAGTCCGACTTTGTGAAATGACTTGAGAGGTGTAGGATAAGTGGGAGCTGGCTTGCCGGTGATTATACTTTTATCGTTATTTTACTTATTCTATGAGATGGAGGTGGGGCTTAGCCCCTCATTGGCTTTTAAGTCTCACCCTGGTGAGGCAATCTGGGCGAAAGACATTGTCAGGCTGGGAGTTTGGCTGGGACGATTCAAATGTTAAAAGATAACACATATGTCATAAGACGAGCTCAACGAGAACAGAAATCTCGTGTGGAACAAAAGGATAAAAGTTTGTTTGATTCTGATTTCCAGTGCGAATACGAATCGTGAAAGCGTGACCTATCGATCCTTTAGTTATTCAGAATTTGAAACTAGAGGTGTTATAAAAGTTACCATATGGATAACTGGCTTGTGGCAGCCAAGCATTCATAGTGACTTTGCTTTTTGATCCTTCGATGTCAGCTCTTCCTATCATTGCGAAGAAGAATTCACGAAGTGTTGGATTGTTCACCTACCAATAGGGAATATGAGCTAGGTTTAGACCGTTGTGATGCAAGTTAATTTTACCCTACTGATGATTGTGCCACGATAATAATTCAATTTAGTATGGGAGGAACCGTTGATTCACACAATTGGTCATCACGCTAGGTTGAAAAGCCAGTGTCACAAAGCTACAGTGTGCAGGATTATGATTGAACGCCTCTAAGTCAGAATCCACGCAAAAAATGCGGCGCCTGAGCCCATCATTCGCTTGCTGACCAGTAGTAGGGGCTTCGACCCCCAGGGGCACGTGTCATGGGATGCATTCGTGTCAGTCATCTAGATCATCAACATGGAGGCCCTAAAATTGAGTTCTAAACGGACGATGGGCTGAATCCTTTGTAGACGACTTAAATTCGTAACGGGACATTGTACATTGCAGAGTGACTCATGCTACCACAATCCATTGATATCCAACCCTATTTCGCAGCAGATTTGTCCGCCCTCTAAATCACCAGGTCATAAAAAGAATTGGGGTTTTCAAACTGCCCGTCAATAGTGTGTGGAACTCGATCATGATACTACTAGCCTTTGGCAGCCCAAAAGATATAAGCGCCCGACTATGATACTGCTTAGGCTTGCTTGCCAGCATGCCACAAACCCTGTTTATCGGCGTGCCCAGGCCATGCTTGCCTGAATGTCCAGTCCCTGCTAGGCAGCGTGCCCCTGGCCCTGCTTGCAAGTATATAACCCTAGTCCCAGCCTACCACCATGCTTGAGGCCTTGCTTGCTACGCCTTGTTGGAAAGCATGCCAAGACCGTACTTGTCAGCGTCCCCAGGCCCTACTTTCTTGCTTGTCAGTGTGCCCCAAGCTCTGCCAGCTAGCATATTCCACATATGACCTGCTTGCCAGTGTGCCCCAGGTCCTGCTTGCCAGTGTGCCCTAGGCCCTGCTTGGCAATGTGCCCTAGGGCCTTGCTTGCCAGGTTGCCTCAGTCCTACTTGTCAGTGCGCCTTAGGCTCTGCTTGTCAGCATGGGGCCCTGCTTGCTAGAGTGCCCAAGGCCTCCATCCACACACACTTTTTAGTGCTTCTCGAAGGCTTGCTGGGTATTCAAACATGATGCAAAGTCATCTTTCTACCATCGAACCTGCTTGACATAGTTATTTTGCTAAAATTTTTAACAAGAGAATATAAAGGTTGGTTGTTTGGACGTGAAATCTTCGTTTCTTGTCAACACTATGCGAGAGATATAATACTTACCTTTGATTTTTTGTGCCTAGTTCTTAGAACAATATGTTGCTTCATATTAAATGACTCATGCATCTTATGCACATAAGATAAAATATATCCATGAATAAATGAAGCGACCTATTGCTTGTGCCTTCGATTGTTGGTTATGAACATTGTTTAAAATTACGCAATATGAGGCTCGCCTTGAGGTCTGCCTTTGCACAATTCTACTGAAAAACGCCTCAATGCTTACGCCTCGAACCTTTTTATGAGGCTTGCGCCTCAACTTAGCTGCGGCTCGCCTTGAGAAGCGCCTTGCCTCACTGGTGTGAGGCGATACGCCTCACCCTACTTATATATATATTTTTGCTTAAACTTACCTAAATCCTAAACTAAAGTCCCTAACAAATCATGCCTTAATGCACCCTCGAGCTACAACAACTTCCTCTCGACTGCCTCGTCCTCTAGCTTACTGCCTTCGCCACATCCACCACTGTCGTAGCCACCGTCGGAGATCACTTGAAAGCCGCACACTACCACTACCTTCTCTAAAAATTTAAGAGTATTACGCTCATCATTAAATTGATGACAAATATTTATAAAGACGAAGATGACTAAAAATTTAAGAGTATTACTCTCATCTCTTGCCACTTTATGTGCATTTTTTTTTTCATATGTATATCAATTTATTACTTCATAGTTCAATAAAAAGCTAATATGTCATTCTTTAACATATTATTTTGATATTATATAAAAAATAACTTCTAACCTTTATTTTCTCTTCACGCAATTATTGGATTTTGAGGCTTACGCCTCATAACGCCTTGAGGCTTACGCCTCGCCTCACAAATGAAGAACGCCTCAATGCCCAATTGCGCAATTTTAAATTTTGGTTATGAAAGAATAATTAGATGTGCCAAGTTACGCATCATATTATAGCCTCAATGCCAGTGTGTTGTTGGCCCTATGTACA